AACCTATCTACGAAAAAAAATTAGTTAGGGTAAGGGTTAGGGGTTTACAAGTTCAGATAATTGTCGTCGCAAATTTTAAAGGAAAAACCTAGACAGTGTAATGAATGGAAGAAAAATATCAAATAAGATTCCTCTAAATTTAGAACATGCGAGAGTAATGGAGGACTGTGTAGCTTGAGGTCGAAGATACAAAAATAGTAGAAGTAAACTTATGTTTGTAATAATTATATTTTGTCTTTTTCATAATGGGTTCGGAAAAATATTACAGGCCCACCAAGACTAGTGTTTCTAGCAAGGCCCAGTTTTTCTAAACCATAAATTAAAATCAAGAACTAAGCATCTCCATTGGATGAGAGTCGTAATAGTATAACTATTAGTATTTGTAATATAATTTTAATAAAAATTTAAAAAGAAATGAACAAATTATATGTGGACACATGTAGATCAAGTTTGTAAAGAGTGTCTATAAGTTTTTGGTAGAGACACCAACTTCATTATCTTTCTTCAACTTCATTTATTTTATTACTTTTTTTATTATAATTTGTGAGACATCCATAAAATGCTGACCAATGAAGTTGGTTTTAGATATATAAACCATTTCTCCTTACCATCCTTAACAGAGAAACCTAGGCCATGGTGTCTTCTTGCTCTTTCGCTTTTTTTATTTTTTTCCTTCACTCTTTCGCTTATTTCAAGAAGTTTTGTTGTGTTGACGATCTTCTTCGTCATCTGATTTATGTCGATAGCAAAAGCTATCATTGTGTGGACGATCTCTTTCGTTACTTGATTGATAAAAAGGATTGATCCATGATTTTTTTAAATCTCCCTTTATTAGATTGGTAATTTTCTAAAATATATCATAATTTGTTAAATTTATTCGAAATTCTAGGTTATTGGATTTATCATGTTAAATAAGTTTTGAAATCTCGTCTTAATGAAAAAAAAATCATTAAACAATTACACCAAAATCATCTCGAATGAAAATGAAAGACAATCCTACTTTTTTTTTGCAAGTGAAAGACAATTCCACTAATATTAAAATGGAAGTACATTTAGGGTGCAAATGGTTGACGTAATTGAAGAAATTGAAAGAATTGAATGAACATTCAACCAATTTTTTACCATTTGAGTTGAAATAGTTGAAAAAATGATTCAACCTATTCAACTTAAATAACTGAAAAATGAACAAATTATAAAGTAAAAGTGTTCAACTTATTCATCTACGTTTTTGCAGAGGAATGGGTTGAATGAGATTCAACTCAATTTATTTCAACCTATTATTTTCAAACCATTCAATTTGAAACAATCATTTGCAGTCTTAATGTAAAAAAAAAAAAGAGAGGAGAAAGTACATTTAAAAAAACTAACATCAAATATCTTGAATTTTACATCATTATTGGAAATAATTTTGAGTGATTGATGAATGATTGTAAAATTTTGAGTTGAAAAAAAAAAGTTGAACATCATTCATCTCATTCCACTGTGAAATAGCAGATGAAAAGATTGAACAATTTTCCTTTATAATTTGTTCAATTTTACAATTTTTTTGGTTGAATGGGTTGAATCAATTTTCCAACTTATTCATCTCAAATGGTAAAAAGTGAGATGAATGGTCATTCAACTCTTTGAACCTCTTATTTCATGTCAATCATTTGCACCCCATATGTGATTGACATAAAGACAAACCAACAAAATTCATTAATTATAAAAATTTCTAAGATCTACTATCCTTATTACCAAGTAGTCTAGAAAACATCACTCTATTATCTATGTAACCAAACAAGTTTACAATATTTTTTATTTCCTTATTTCACGAAAAATACCATGTTTTTTTCTCCAAAAGAATCGTGGTGATGCAGATTGTAGCATAAGTGCTTGTTGCACAACTATTCGCCTCTGGAAACTTCTCCAAATGAGGGAGATAGTGAGCTGTCATTGCATGTAGCATTACATCTCCATACAGAGAGATGCATTCAAGAGACACTATCTCCAGAATCTCAAATTCGTGGTTGTGGCTGTGAGCCAGTTTTTTTAAAGTAATATGCATAAGGAAATCCCAAGCAATGTGTTTCGGAGAATCTAACATTGTCATGATGAAAGAGTGTGCCCTATAAATACTCTTCCAATCGGCAGAAGACACAAGTTTATCACACTCTTAAGTAATCCAGCTGCGAACTTCTCTTTTCACAGACTCTTGTGTAAGCATCTTCCTTAGCAAATCATATACAATTCTTCTTCCAGTGTTAGAGAAGATAAAACTAATTTCATCTTTCTCCAAGAGTTGTTTATCCTCTTCGAAGTCTTGGATGTATGGACAAGCGATCTCTTTGAAAACCACTCAACCCTCGCCACTGTTTATCGAGATGGAGTTGAGAGAGTATGTTAGGATCTCAATCTCCCCCTTGGAGATGATTGAGGTAGAAGATCTTAGCAGCACGTTTTCGAAAATCTCTCTATCCACTTCAAGTTGTTTTATCTTTTTCCTTGTTGAATGATGTAATGGTAGCAGCGTTTTTAACTTCATGTCTATTAGATATCTGCGTTGCACAATGGTTTTTCCTCCTTTTCTTCCTCTCATTGATCTGGAATAATGAGAATCAAGGAAGATATATGAAAAAAATGAATCCAATATTTGTTAAGAAAAATAAGGTAAATGTGATATTTTGTTTTTATCTAAAAGATATATCTATCATGTTAAAAAATGTTTCAAAATATCTTCTTATTGAGAAAAAAATCATATTTTATTATATAAAAAAAAAAACTAAAAAACAAAAATCATATCGAATGATTTGAAAGACAATCCTACATTCTTTTCTTTTGGCATGTGCAAGGCAATCCTAATATTAAAAGGGAATTACACTTGATGTACAAAAAAAGAAGGGAAATTACATTTCAAAAACTAACATCTAATTATTTGAATTTTACATCATATGTCATTGACATAAAGAACAAACAAACAAAATTCTTTAAGGATAAAAATTGGGTGATTTAGGTGAATAACCAAAAAAAAAAGAAAAATTAGTTTTTTAGAAAGAAGGTAGAGAGAGATAGGAAGAGAAAGAGAGTGAATAGAGGGGTTAGAGGTTAGATATTTAATTTTGTTTTTTTTAGGTTATCTAGTGCAATTTCTCATAAAAATTTCTAAACAATTAGATCTACTATCCCTATTACCAAGCATAGTCTAAAAAATCTCACTCTACTATCTATGTAACCAAACGAGTCAACACTAGTTTTTTAAAAATATATTAATTAGTTTATGCAAATTTAAAAGTGAGAAAATGAAATTTAAATATTCCTCTCCAATTATTTTTAATTACTAAAAATTAAATTATCAAAAACCTATATTCAAGATGTTCTATTTATATCGCAATAAAAAAATTCTAACCACAATAAATTTGTACATTTTGGGAAGAGAGGGGGGGGGGGTAAAAATACAACAAAAATAGTCTAATAAAAATTCATATTTAATGTGCGTAAATATTCATATCAATTTTACTTTAGAAAGAAAAAAAAAATCATCCCGTATTGTAACACGAGCATCATCTAGTTTACACTTAAAAAAGATGGGATACAAATAACCGAACAAATTTTGTTTTGTAATCTAACGCCATTGTATTTCAAACTCTATCCGCTCATGTCTATCTAATCTTCCTCCATCAATTTGGTTAATACCCATTTTATCGGATGTCCCCGAAGGGACTTGTTTAATACCCTAGCTACTACAAACTGAACAATAGTCCAATCAAAGAAGAAAAGATTAACCTTAAAAAAAAAGTCCTAACATTAGCATTAATTGCACCATGGATCCATGGCCAATTAGCCACTATATAGATCTTGAAAATTCCTCATACAAAGTTTATGAGTGTGGTTCACATATGAACAAGCAGAATGAAAAAAAATGATAGTTAGAAAATTTAAGAAAAGTGAACCGATAAAAGTGACAACATCACATTTGTTCTATTCGGTGGAGGATTGTCGAGCGAAGACGATATATAATGATAGCAATAACAACTTCTGTCTCGATGAAAAGGCTTTGATGAAGGGGTTGAGTTTCGTGGAGTCTCTTGAAACCTACGTAATCTACGATATATGAGATAAAAATATATTTGGAAACTAAAATTTGTAAAAGCTTTTAATAGTTAATTAAATTTCAAATAAGAAAATTTCTCATTTTATGTATATGATATGGATAAATATATAGTTGAACCTAAAAATTACAAAAGAAAAATATGATATTTTACACATAGTTGAAAATAGTATAAAATTGACAAGGTAGAAATATTACATTCTAAACAAGGATCTGCCTTGACACAAGTTGTAGTCTACCCCATCCATTTCATTGTCATGTCTGAAGTAAGAAATTGATGAACTCACTTCTGATCTTTTACGTATGTATGCATATAGTTGTTGCTTCTAATACATATACGTATTATTTTATTTAATGATGTATTCATGAATCAACTTTTATCAAAATTATAAACTTTTGATTTGAAATAATTTCATTTAATACAAATAAAGATATAAGAGTGTCATCATAATTACTTTTTGCTATGTTGATTTTAGTATTTTGATCATTATGTTACTAGTAAGTTGAAGATCTAGAGGAGATTATAGAACTTTGGTGAATTATTGTCTTTAATTAGTTTTTTTTTTGTTGTTTTCTTAAATTCCGAAAGAGTTATCTTCTGTATATGATCACACTGCTTAAAGTTTTCCTCAAAGATTTATGTTTTAATTTTTACTTTGTTAAAACTATTTTCAACAGGTACACTCTTTTTCCAATTATATGTGTATCGCTCTCATCTCCTTCACCATTTTGATTTCTTCAATTATACGTCCACTGGCCGTACCATAAATCACGTATATACCAATTGCTCATGAAGGAAACATCATAAAAATACAAGTAGAAGGAAATTTCAATTAAGATGTACTCTTCATATAACTAGGACCACATTATCTTATTTTCATAATAACAAAGACTTAATCTTTCCCGAAATAAATAAATAGCAAATTATTGATTATCCTAGCAGAGGAAAAAAGTGTATCTTCCAAAATATTGTTTTGGCATGTTAATGATTCAGGTTTCAAGAGAAAAATCAAAAGAATTGGATCTGACAGTTTGATGAAACTCTAGGAAGCTCCATAACATCATTGGTGATACCATTGTTATCTTCTCTGCGTTTCAATGTAACACCAACCTTGACAGTTTCAAGACATCTCAAATTTCCCAAGAAATGCCTCATCTGTTTCAGCTCTCTACAAGTACCTCGATACCCTGAAATATTTAGCACTTTCACTTGACATGTCGATAAACAGCATTCTTTCTCCTCCTTCTTCTTCTTCTTATTCTTCTTCCTCCTCTTAGGAATGCAAGGACAGGCATTCCCACACATATCTGTTACTTGGTGCAAAAGACCCTGAAAGCAAAAGGAATTCAAATAAAACATTAAAGCAACGAAAATAATACGTACGGCACAAGCAAATTCATTTACAATAGTAATCTAGCAAAGAAATAAAATTATGTGGTGTTGATCTAAGAATTGATGATACCTTGATGATTAGAGTTTCTAGGTTTGGAGATTTGTTGAGGAGAAGTGGCACCACTTGCCAGCCTATTTCTTTGTCACTCTCAAAAGATAAAGTAACGAGGTTGTGAAACACCGGCATTGTATCACAGCACAAGTGAAACACCTGAATTTGTAGTCATAACCAAAACAGACATATAATACAAAATGAGACCTTGCTAGCTAGCATACACTTGAAATTGAAACAATCATATAAGAAGAATAAGTAGCAAAACTGACCTCAAGAGAATCAGAATATAAATGAAGGGTTTTAACATTGCTTATCCCTTTAACCAGATCCGTAACATCACCAAAAATTTCGTCTTCCTCCTCATAGCTCTCACCCTCATTTTCATCTATAACTCTCTCCCAAGATCGGATATTGAGTCTAGCTTCTTCAAGGGAACCCAAATCAACCGCATACTTTTTCAAGACATAATTAGAATAGTCAAGATACACAAGGCTGGGTGTCTGCAAGCAACCAAAACGTAACTCGGGAAGATTGTGATAGATGTTCAGTCGTTTGATTGAAGGACTCGATACGAGCCCATTCCAAGCGAGGCGTCTGGTGTCATTATCATAATGTAGGAATAATTCCTCAAGCACAGGGCAGCCAGAGATGAAATCCTGATACATCTCAGCATTTTTGAACTTCACTGAAACTAGAGAAAGTGATTTAAGCGCTGGGAAAAACACTCCCCCAGGAGGAAGACGACCCTCAGCATAAAACCGACCGCATATTGTGAGGTCAACCAGTGTGTTGCTCGTGAAGACCTCAGTGTCTATACGATGCATACGTGCGGTCTCCAAGTGAAGTTTCAAGAAGCCGCGCTCAAGGACAGTGTGAATCCAACTCCGCACCCGAGAAGAGGCATGCTTAAAGTCACAATTCAGGGAGAATCTCTTGACGGTGGTAAAATTGCTTAAGAGAGCAAGTGTTCTGTCCACGAAATCACAGAAGTATCGATGATCACCACTTGCGTCATTCAAATCAAGGTTGTCTACAAGCGCAAGCAGATTCCTCCACCTCTTTGACAGAACCGATGTGCAAGCAGCACGATTTGTCCAAAGCAATGACAAGATTTTGCCTAGAATCTCATCTGGTAGATTGCTAATATAATCTTTAGAACCCATATCTACTCTTTTGGTAGACATATAGAGGTTAGGATTATAAAGAACCTATCAACAACAAAAATCGATCTAGAGTTAGGGTTACAAGTTCTGCTAGTTTAAATCAAAAGGAGAAAGCCTAGACAGTGAAATCAACAGAATTGAAGGAAAATATCAAATAAAATTCCTCTATAAAGCTAGGGCATGCAAGATTACTTCAAGACGTCGATGTAGATTGGGGAATGTAGTAGAAGTAATCTTACGATTGCAAAGGAAACCAAAGGAGGAATTCGCAAGCACGACGAGTCTAACAGGAAGATCGAAGAGGAAGCTTGATGAGCAAGGAATTCGAGAAAGATGAAGAATTAAAGAATTTTTCTATAAAACTATTGTTTTTTTTATAATGGGTTTTCAAAATAAAAAGCATTAGACCAAAGATATTACAAGCCCACCAAGACTTGAGTGTTTAGAGAGCAAGATCCACTTTTGCTAAACCAGAAATTACAAGGAACAAATATTTGTACCAACCAAAAAAAAAATGTACTAATTCGAGTAAGTATTTGTACATTCACGTTGTTAGGATAACTTACAAGCGATATAGAATTTATTACATCAAATCGTGAAGTTTATATTATATTTTAAGACAATATAACGATATTATCCCAAAAATATTGCCGAATTTATCACCAAACAATAATATTACGAATTTACGATTACGTACGAATGAATGTAAACCTCTTCAATATCGTGTCTATCTCGACTAAAAGAAAAAGAAAAAACAATTGCGTGTCTCTATCCATAATATGAGTTAACAATTTCGTGTCTATCTATCATAATATGAGTTGTATAGCAATAATAAAATCAATTAGTGTTTGTTTTTGAAAAAAGAAAAATTTAATATAATGTATAAAGGCAATGGACATCTACTAATATAAATTAGATGTATTGAAAGTCTTTACTTTCCAATATCATTACTTGATTATGAAGTTTCTTATATTTTCGAAAAAAACGTGAGAAATTCATGAAAAATAAAACTAATTCACACAAACCTTCCCAACAACAATACTAAATTTCCCAAATTTTAACAAGAAAAACAAACTACGTAATCTACCTATTTATTACTTCATCGGAAAAATGCGAATAATACAGCCCATCACGAATACTATTTCTAGACACCAACACCATCCCATCTTTGGGAATTACAGGTTACAGAAATATTTGCTTCGAGAAGATTTTTCCAGTTCCACAAGACATCACAAATTTAGTCAAGTTCTTTTTCTTTTTTTTATTGGTATACAAATTAAATTTTAACAGTAGAAACGTAACACTAGTGGAATATTAACAACACATTTGTTAAACCTCTTTTGAGTATTAATTTCCCAAAAACCCTCTAGAAGCTTTGCTTTTGTTCTTTCCCCTTGTGTCCTAAGTAATTTTCAAAACATTAAATAGAAAAAATATATTCTAGTTGACTACATTAAATAAAAAAGATTAATTACTCATTTAATCACCAGAATTCAAATACAATTTCGATTAAAAATAGTAAATCAGTACCCAAAAAAACTTCTAGAAGCAAACAAACTTAGAGTAAGAACAGGACAAAACCGACTCAAACACCTTTTTTACCCTCACTCAACAGATTCAACACACAAAACAACAAGGGTATTATCGTCATTCAAATAACAAAAAAATCACAAGGGTAATATAGTCATTTACACTACCTTCAAATATGCCCGGGGATTATGCACGCTTTATATGCAGCGTAGACACCTAACTGAATCAGTCTAACAGAGAAACCCAAAAAAAAAAAAAATTCCCTTCTCTGATTTTTCGGAGCAGGGAAAAAAAAATATTCAAAATCGGAGATTATCACAAATCTCAAATCTCAAATCTCAAATCTCAAATCTCGATTTTGATTCTCGTCGGAGGTGGTTAAACAATGGCGGCTGCTTCGAATGGGAGTGAGTATTTCGAATTCGATGTAGAAACAGGTAGAGAATCGTTCGCGCGGCCGTCTAACGCCGATACAGTGGAGCAAGATGAAGAAGATCTACGGTGGGCGGCGATCGGACGGTTACCGTCGCAGAGACAAGGCAGTCAGAGTGCGATTCTGCTTCGATCGCAAACGCAAACGCAGACTTCTGGTTACGCTGATGGAAACGTGGTTCAAACGATTGATGTGAAGAAATTGGATCGTGCCGATCGTGAGATGTTGGTTCGTCAAGCTCTTGCTACTAGTGATCAGGATAATTTCAAACTTCTCTCTGCTATTAAAGAACGTCTCGATCGGTGTGTGACGACCACGACTCTTCGAATCCTCTGTTTCTAATTTTAGGAATTTTTCTTGAAATTGTAAATTTTTATATACATATGGATCGTTGAATTTGATACAATATTTTGTAGAGTTGGTATGGAGGTACCGAAAATCGAAGTCCGGTTCGAGAATTTGAATATTGAAGCTGATGTTCAAGCGGGTACAAGAGCTTTGCCAACTTTGGTTAATGTCTCTCGTGATTTCTTTGAGGTTAGTCTTCTTTATCTTTTTGAGTATTTCACATAATTTTTTTTAATGATTGTTTCTAATTCTGCATTTGTCTCTGTTTGTTGTAGCGTTGCTTAAGCAGCTTGAGAATAATCAAGCCTAGGAAACACAAGCTAAATATTTTGAAAGATATTAGTGGGATTATAAAACCAGGAAGGTAAATTAAAAGACTGTTTAGATTATCACTAAGTCATATGTATAATCACAAGTACTAAAATTTTGCTATTTTATGAAGGATGACTTTGTTATTAGGACCACCGGGTTCCGGAAAATCGACGTTGCTTCTTGCTCTTTCAGGGAAGCTTGATAAGAGTTTAAAGGTTAGTTTATCCGTGAAGTTATTAACTATGTTCATATATATCACATGTATCTTAGGTTTGTTATATCTTTTTGTTTAAACGTCACATGCATGAAGTGACGTACCCCAACCATGTTTGATGTTTGTTTTTTTTAACAGAAAACGGGTAACATTACCTACAATGGAGAGAATCTTGATAAGTTCCATGTTAAAAGGACTTCAGCATATATTAGTCAAACAGATAATCACATTGCTGAACTCACTGTTCGCGAAACGCTTGATTTTGCTGCGAGATGTCAAGGCGCAAGCGAAGGATTTGCAGGTTTTTTTCATTTGGTGTTATTATTCACTATATAAACTTCTTCTAGTCATGAATGTCCTCATATCATTTCTGTTTTGATGTTTTGTAAATGTAGGTTACATGAAAGATCTAACCAGATTAGAGAAAGAGAGGGGTATACGTCCTTCTTCCGAGATTGACGCTTTTATGAAGGTCAGTATCTCCTAATGTCTCAAGATTTATCATGTCTCTTGATCACACAACAAAGCCTGACATTTTCTCTTTGTTATAGGCTGCTTCTGTCAGTGGTGAAAAGCATAGTGTATCGACAGATTATGTGCTTAGAGTTCTTGGTCTTGATGTATGTTCTGATACAATGGTTGGTAATGATATGATGAGAGGTGTTTCAGGAGGTCAAAGGAAAAGAGTAACAACAGGTCCTTTTTCACTCTCTTTACTTATCTATCTTTACTTAATGATCCATTAGCTCTGTTATGCTAATTGATAAATTTGACACAATGCAGGAGAAATGACTGTTGGACCAAGAAAAACCTTGTTTATGGATGAAATATCTACTGGTCTTGATAGCTCAACAACTTTCCAGATTGTGAAATGTATCAGAAACTTCGTTCATCTAATGGATGCAACAGTTCTTATGGCACTTCTTCAGCCTGCACCGGAAACATTTGATTTGTTTGATGACTTAATTCTTCTCTCAGAAGGTTACATGGTATATCAAGGTCCTCGAGAAGATGTGATAGCCTTTTTTGAGTCTCTAGGATTCCGTATTCCACCACGTAAAGGTGTCGCAGATTTTCTCCAAGAGGTATATATACATCCTAAATCTTTTCTTTAATTTGAGTTTAGTACACCCAAATTTTAAGCTCTTTGTATTGGTTTTCTTAATCTATTATAATGTTGGTATGCAGGTGACCTCCAAAAAGGATCAAGCTCAATATTGGGTCGATCCTTCGAAGCCATATCAGTTTATTCCTGTCTCAGACATAGCGGCTGCATTCCGTAACTCGAAATACGGGCATGCTGCAGATTCCAAGCTGGCCACACCATTTGATAAGTCATCCGTGGATCCTTCAGCTTTATGCAGAACAAAATTTGCCATATCAGGATGGGAAAACCTTAAAGTTTGCTTTGTACGAGAAATACTATTGATCAACCGGCACAGATTTCTTTACACTTTTAGGACATGCCAGGTAAATTACCTCTTTTCGCTGCATTTGTAAATTTGGCATCATCTAGAGTATTGACACTTAGGTTTGTTTCTTAAGATTTCATGACAATGCTTTTGTGTGGCTTTTGAATCAAGTAACCAATAAAATTTTTCTATACCATAAGCCTAGGTCTTCATGTGCGCTTAGTAGTGCTTGCTTCGACTCTGCTTTTGTAAACTTAGTCTCATTCTTATAAGTACCGTTATGTGATCCAATTTGCATCACTATGTTAATAGCTTGACGTAGATATATTATTCAAATATCCTTAGCTAAAATTTATTTTGAAACTTTAGTAACCAAATTGTCAGAAATACATGTGAATTATTTGGAGTGAGGCAATTATCTCATGAATTTGGTCAGCTTAAATCTCGAAGATCACCTGTTGAATAATAAAATTTTGTGCTATCTTATTGACTTGAATAGATGTTCTCTTTGTGGTATATATAGCTTCCTATGTTTCTGACCTGAAACATTTTCTGTTCCTTAAAGGTTGCATTTGTGGGACTTGTCACAGCCACGGTGTTCTTGAGAACTAGACTACACCCAACAAGCGAACAATTTGGCAACGAGTATCTATCTTGCCTTTTCTTCGGGCTAGTGCACATGATGTTCAATGGTTTCTCTGAACTGCCTCTCATGATATCCCGTCTCCCGGTTTTCTACAAGCAAAGGGATAACTCCTTTCATCCTGCTTGGTCCTGGTCTATCGCCAGCTGGCTGTTGCGTGTGCCTTATTCTATCCTTGAAGCTGTTGTCTGGAGTTGTGTAGTATACTACAGTGTGGGACTTGCTCCCTCAGCAGGCAGGTTGGTATTAACATTTCTCTCGACTTGTTGTTGATTTTTTAGTTTTGTAGTCTTAAACAAAATCTCTTTTTGTTCTCCTAGATTTTTCCGATACATGTTACTCCTCTTCTCGGTGCATCAAATGGCTCTCGGTTTATTTCGTATGATGGCTTCTCTAGCAAGGGATATGGTCATTGCCAATACATTCGGATCCGCAGCAATCTTAGTAGTGTTCTTGCTTGGTGGATTCGTTATTCCAAAAGGTTAATTAATACTTCTACTTCACTACTTCATGCATATAAGAAATTAATTATTTGTTGATTCGTCTTGCTATAATAAGACTCTCATCATATTCTACAGCTGATATTAAACCCTGGTGGGTTTGGGGTTTTTGGGTGTCGCCGTTATCCTATGGACAACGTGCCATTGCGGTCAATGAATTCACAGCCACACGGTGGATGTCGGTATGTTCAAGAATCTCTTTTTTTCTTATTAATAATACTTTGTTAGAATATACAATGCTTAACTATATACTTTAAAACATCATGCAGCCATCCGCTATATCGGATACTTCAATCGGATTCAACCTTCTAAAGCTAAGGAGTTTTCCCACAAATGACAATTGGTATTGGATTGGAATTGCGGTTCTCATTGGTTATGCAATTTTATTCAACAACGTTGTCACTCTCGCCTTGGCTTATCTTAACCGTGAGATCTCTATTGCTAATGATTCTTTCTTCTATCTCTGTAGTAATACTGTGAAGCTTAGTCTTTTTTGTTTTTCTCTTGCAGCTCTAAGAAAAGCTCGAGCAGTTGTTTTAGACGATCCTAAAGAAGAAACTCAAACATCTTTAGTAGCAGATGCAAATCAAGAAAAAAGTCAGAAAAAGGGAATGATCCTTCCATTCAAACCATTAACAATGACTTTCCACAATGTCAACTATTATGTTGATATGCCAAAGGTTAATTTCACTTTTCTGTTTCGCCTCCGTCTTATCAGCCCTTATCTATGGTTACACAAAGATTTTCTGTTTGTGAAATCTCAGGAAATGCGTTCTCAAGGTGTCCCAGAGACAAGACTACAACTGTTATCAAATGTGAGTGGAGTCTTCTCACCTGGTGTTCTTACAGCTTTAGTTGGATCAAGCGGTGCGGGAAAAACTACATTGATGGATGTTCTTGCGGGCCGAAAGACAGGTGGATATACCGAGGGAGATATTAGAATCTCTGGTCACCCAAAAGAACAACAAACGTTTGCTAGAATCTCTGGATATGTTGAGCAGAACGATATCCATTCTCCTCAAGTCACAGTTGAAGAGTCCCTGTGGTTTTCGGCTAGCCTTCGTCTTCCTAAAGAGATCAGTAAAGAACAGAAAAAGGTTAGTATGAATGAGTTTTACTTCATTTGGTTTCGATATGGATAGTTTCACTAAATATATATATATATTCTTGCTGTGTTAGGAATTTGTGGAAGAAGTGATGAGACTTGTAGAGCTTGATACTCTGAGATATGCTTTAGTAGGTTTACCCGGTACAACCGGACTTTCTACAGAGCAGAGGAAACGTCTAACAATTGCTGTTGAGTTAGTAGCAAATCCATCAATAATTTTCATGGATGAACCAACATCTGGACTTGATGCAAGAGCAGCTGCAATTGTGATGAGAACTGTAAGAAACACTGTTGACACCGGAAGAACAGTGGTTTGCACCATTCATCAACCCAGCATTGACATTTTCGAGGCCTTTGACGAGGTTTGACCTAATTTTGCTTGGATTACAAGAACTGTTATGAATTTTTTATCAGTTGATGATCTTAACGTCTTTGATTTTTTTGCTTAACCTTGAAAATACAGCTGCTTCTAATGAAACGAGGAGGACAAGTTATATATGGTGGGAAATTGGGTACACACTCACAAGTTTTGGTAGACTACTTTCAGGTACTTGTCTTAATCTTCTTTTCTTCTGCTTTGATCTTCGCACATACTTGTGCCCCACGTTAAATATGACAAAACCTAAACCTCTCTACAGGGGATTAACGGAGTACCTGCAATCTCAAGTGGTTACAATCCAGCTACTTGGATGCTTGAAGTAACTACGCCTGCTTTGGAAGAGAAATATAACATGGAGTTTGCAGATTTATACAAGAAATCTGATCAGTTTAGGTAACTATCTCAACCCATATAGCTACATTTTCAATCTTTTTTAACAGCCACTATCTAAATTTTGAATTTAAACATATTGTGTATCTATCTATTCAGAGAAGTGGAGGAAAACATCAAGCAACTCAGTGTTCCACCAGAAGGCTCAGAGCCAATAAGCTTTACTTCAAGATACTCACAAAACCAACTATCTCAATTTCTACTCTGTCTCTGGAAACAGAACCTTGTCTACTGGAGAAGTCCAGAATACAATCTCGTGAGATTGGTCTTCACAACGATCGCTGCGTTTATACTCGGCACAGTTTTCTGGGACATTGGTTCCAGGAGGACTTCCTCACAGGATTTGATCACTGTAATGGGAGCTCTCTACTCGGCTTGTCTGTTTCTTGGAGTTAGTAACGCTTCATCGGTACAACCAATCGTTTCAATCGAAAGAACAGTTTTCTACAGAGAGAAAGCCGCCGGTATGTATGCTCCAATTCCATATGCAGCTGCCCAAGGTCTTGTGGAGATACCTTACATTCTTACCCAAACCATTCTTTATGGTGTCATCACATACTTCACCATTGGTTTTGAAAGAACATTAAGTAAGTTTTCTTTGATTCTTTTTCATTAATCTCAATCTTTTTCTATCTGCATCAACTATATAATAATACTAATATATTGACATCGAAACACAGGCAAGTTTGTACTGTATTTGGTGTTCATGTTCCTCACATTCACCTACTTCACCTTCTACGGCATGATGGCAGTTGGTCTCACCCCGAATCAGCACTTAGCCGCTGTTATCTCCTCTGCGTTTTACTCTCTCTGGAATCTCCTCTCCGGTTTCCTCGTCCAAAAACCTGTAAGTATTTCACTCTATGAAGTGCAAGGTAGCTATATATTTATGGATTCAAAACATCAAGAACTTAGTTTTGATTGGTCATTTAGGATTTGATTCTTGACTCGTTGATTCCATACCATATTTTGAACGCTAATAATCTTTTAACTCATTTTTTGTGTATTTGTTTTGGTACTTCAGTTGATTCCAGTGTGGTGGATATGGTTCTATTACATATGTCCAGTGGCGTGGACACTTCAAGGAGTAATCCTTTCACAGCTTGGTGACGTGGAGAGCATGATCAACGAGCCAATGTTCCATGGCACAGTCAAAGAATTCATTGAACTTTACTTCGGCTACAAGCCAAATATGATCGGTGTATCTGCTGCAGTTCTTGTCGGTTTTTGTGCTCTCTTCTTCTCAGCATTTGCACTTTCAGTCAAATACCTCAACTTCCAGAGAAGATAAAAGTCCTATGTGACTTTCTTTGATATTTTTGGCCATTGTCATTCGTGTTCCGTTTTAAGAATAGCTAGGATTCGTTTTAAAGTTAGTTTTTTTTTACATTGACGAAAAAAACATACCTAAAAAAAGATTCTGTTTTGTTCTATTTAGGCTTTATAGTTTTGTACACTGAATATTGATTCTGTTTTGCTCTGTTTAGGGTTTATAGTTCAATTGATGTCGTTCAGTATTGTTGAATTTTGTTCCTCATCTTTGTTTCATAAAGATTAATGTCTCATGTAAAATATGACTAATGTTTTATTTCCTAATTTCCCTATATCAATTAATTATAATATAAATGTAAATCTTAATTAGACTAATAAAATCAATTGATTCTCATATATAATTCCATAAAGTGAGTAAGAAAATTCTTGAACATGAATATGGAGATTGGGATCAACGAAAATACAGTTCAACACTTAAATCACTATCTTCTTCACGTTTCTTTTGTCACATATTTGGAGTTGCAAATATTAATCTTAGTTTTGTGATTTAATTGGTTGTGGATTGTGGAATAGTTTTTGTGGCTGTGCCAAAGTGAAATAAACACTCTCCTAGAAGACATATTCACGCAAATTAAATGAGAATTTTTTTTTAAGGAAAACAAAAATCTTTCTGCAACCCATCAAATATATATATAAAGAGAGACCCATCAAATATCTCTCTTCACACACACACACTCCATGGAAATGCTTTTTCTTGGTTCGCTTATGCATTTCTCTTCTTTCTTTTTTTTTTTTTTTTTATTATTTTTTTTTTCTTTTTATGTTTAACAACAAATGTTTGCTAAAATCTCTTAACATCATGTTTCCTTATTCTATCATGCTCAACAATTCAACATATACCGAGATTCTAACAAACGTTTGTTGTTAAAGAGAAATGCATAAGTGAACCAATGAGGTGTAACGTGTATCACAAGACACAAATGCCAAAACAGAGCTGAAACCGGACCAAAAAGACTCTTTGTCACCAAAAAGCTTTAAATTCTCACCAAGAAAGAAACATGACATTGCGAAGCTTTGGGCCTTAGACAATCAACGAAGCCCAACAATATCTCACCATCAACCGTTACAAAAGTCACAAAAATATTTTTAACTCGAACGATGTGGAAAGGGTCAGATATTTTTTGGTCCGAGGTTTTCACTTTTTCTATTATTGTCGAAAATATATTTGACGATTCTCTAGCTACCGTCACTTTTCTACGTCACCCCTCCAATCATAACCTTCCAACGACCCTTTCTTTTCAACACCCATTCGTCCTTCACGCAATCCCGTCACAGTCATCTTCTAGACCCGACCAACCGCTTACCGGGTCGGTTTCTTCCACGTGTCCCCCCGAAGATATCTTTAGAAACAAAAAAATTCCCATCGCGTCGTCAACTATGAATGAATTTTGATGAATTTGTAAAATATGGAAGCATCGAGAAATCGATCGCTCGTCGGAAACAACCGAGCTCTGGAGATGAATCACGAAGACGACGACGGCGAAGATGTAGCGGCGGTGGCGGTGGAAGACGTGGAGGTGTGGGATACGTTGAGTAATGGATTCAAGCGTGCACAGCTTTTTCTTGATCAGAATCGTGATTTGATCCAACGAGTCAACGAAAACCACATGTCTCGAATCCCTGATAACGTCGCTAGAAACGTTGGCTTGATCAACGAAATCAACGGTAATATTTTCCGAGTTATGGAGATTTACTCTGATTTATCTGTCGATTTAGCCAAAAATTTCGATCAGCGGCGGAGGACGGCCAAGAACGGTGACACTACAACTACCACCACCGGTTCTTACGGCGGTAAACGGAGCCCTTGCGGTTCCTAAGCGCAATACGCAACAACAAACTCCGATTTTAGCTAATTTCATGCCAGGAGTCACTGTTCTGTTTCATGAAGTTTGTATATGATTACAAGAATTAGGAGTTGATTTTGGGGTTGATGTAAATTAGTGTGGTGGATTAGGATGTTGCACTAGTCTCTTACGTGTTCTCTAAGGTATTCTATGCTTATGTATTCAGCTCCTCTGCTTTTGTTTGATTCTTGCATGTCTCATTCGTATAATCATTCACTAGTTTCATGATTTTTCGATGGCTGGTTGTTTGTATTATGGATTTAAACTAGATTTTAACCCGCGGTACACCGCGGGGCTATATTTTCTTAAAAAAATCAAAATGTAATTTGTTTGATAGATTATTTTGATTGTTAATTTTAGGATTTCACCCGTGGTATACGATCTTTTATAAATATCAACCCAAACCCGTCCCATCATATTACCCGTCCCGTGAAATTAAACATTATTTAGTTATTTTTCTTTTTAATAATACTTTTATTTAAAAGCTATATAATTCAAGTCAATTTAAAAATTTCTTTTAAATGGTTCCCATAAGATATATATACATATATATTAAATTTGTATAGAGTTGAAATAATATTAATATTACAAATTTTTTATATAATTTAAATATTATAAATATTTTTAAAAATATGTAATATATATTTTTTGTTATTGAATAAGAGGATATTATGTGTAAGAAATGTAGAAAATAAGAGTTTAATATTTTTATTATGATGTAAATTAGTGTGGTGGATTAGGATGTTGCACTAGTCTCTTACGTGTTCTCTAAGGTATTCTATGCTTATGTATTCAGCTCCTCTGCTTTTGTTTGATTCTTGCATGTCTCATTCGTATAATCATTCACTAGTTTCATGATTTTTCGATGGCTGGTTGTTTGTATTATGGATTTAAATAGCTTTTAGAGAAGATATGAGTTGCACCAAAAACAGATGGCTTTGGTTAGTTCTTGAATAGAGTCAGGTCATGTTGATCCATGAGAATGAGCAATGAGTGGGTAGGTTATTTGGAAATGCCTGTAAGCACAAGAGAGTTTTAGATGAGCGACACTAGGTTCCACACACATTAGAAATAGTTCACTACAATAGGTCTCCAGGCACAAGACTTGGTCTACAAGCCAAACACGTTGATGTTCTTGTCGGCTTTTGTACTATATTATCACTCACATGACTAAACTTGATCTTTTTGGCCTTTTCACTGGTTTTTCCCTTTTACGAGTAGTTAGATTATCTTCTATATTACAACAGAGATTTCGTGTCACCATGTCCAACTTGAGATAAAATGAAACAAATAAAATATTAGAGTAACTAATGTATTCACCTTATTCTAAATCATCAATCTAAAACTTTTCGATGCAAATTTTTTATAATGACTAAACATCTATCAATATGTTATAATTACTGAAATAACGTAAATAATCAAGAGAAAATAAATTGATCAAAAATTTGCAAATGTTAAGCAAAATATAGGCAAAACATAAATAATATATATTTTTAAAAAACTGACAAAAAGTCACAGATTCAAAATTGAGATTCTAAACAAATAGAAACAAACATATATATGACCATAATTTTGTGTTTTTGGCGGCTCCTGATAAATTACTACATGAAGTTGATAATTAATTTGATGATAAATTACCACATTTACCTGATAATTCATTATCCTTCTTCCTAGACCTATGTTATAAAGGAATCCTTTTGATTCATTATTATTCATCAATTTTCAAGATGTCCTCAATTTCCAATCCTCGTTTTCCTCAATAGAAAAACTAGAGTAACCAATTTATTCACCTTGTTCTAAATCATCAATTTAAAAATTTTGATTTAACTTTTTTGTTCTTTTATATTTTACAAATCGACCACATTATCAAGTTATAAGATTATTCGTTATGATTTCTGTTTGTCATCTAAGAATAGTAGTTTGTATAATTTTACTAAAATTTTAAACAAAAAAAAAATAATTGGCTATTAATCTACTATAGTGATGGTTGATTCATGTTTGTTTTTTTAAGATTCGATTAATAAATCTTAAAAATGTTGGTAGAAAAATATTTTGTTTATTGGTGTAGTTCTTTTGTCACAAAACGATGATATTTTTTAACTTTTGGTTTTTTTTTTTTTAATATTCGTCTCTGATCTCCATATATGTTGGCACGCCTTTGATGGCACAGTCAAAGAATTTATTGAACTTTACTTCGGCTACAAGCCAAACATGATCGGTGTGTCTGCTGCAGTTCTTGTCGGTTTTTGTGCTCTCTTCTTCTCAGCATTTGCACTTTCAGTCAAATACCTCAACTTCCAGCGAAGATAAAAGTCCAATGTGACTAACTTTGATATTTTTGGCCATTGTCATTGGTGTTCCGTTTTAAGAATAGCTAGGATTCTTTTAAAAGTTAGTTTTTGTGACATTGACGGAAAAGAAACAAACCTAAAAAAAAAATTTCTGTTTTGCTTTATTTAGCTTTATAGTTTTGTTCACTGAATATTGATTCTGTTTTGCTCTGTTTAGGGTTTATAGTTCAACTGATGTCGTTCAATATTGTTCGTAATCTTTGTTTCATAAAGATTAATGTCTCCTTTAAAATAAAAATAATGTTTTATTTCCTAATTTCTCTATGTCAGTTAAATATAATATGAATGTAAATCCTAGTTAGACTAATAAAATTAGGTTATAGTATTGCACATATGTATAATTCTATAAAGTGAGTAAGAAAAATTCTAGAACATGAATATGGAGATTGGGACCAATGAAAATTCAGTTCAACACTTAATCTCTATCTTCTTCACGTTTCTTTTGTCACATATTTGGAGTTACAAATATTAATCGTTGTTTTTGTGATATAATTGGTTGTGGATTTTGGAATAGTTATTGTGGCTGTGCCAAAGTGAAACACACTCTCCTAGAAGACAACCTAAACACCAATTCACGCAAATTTTATGAGAAAAAAAAAAAAAAACAATGATAAGGAAAAACTAAAATCTTTCTGCAACCCTCCTTGTGCCTTGACTATATATATAAAGAGAGACCCATCAAATATCTCTCTTCACACACACACTCTCCATGGAAATCGTTTTTCTTGGTTCACTTATGCATTTCTCTTCTTTTTTTTCTTTTTATTATTATTTATTTTTTCTTTTTATGTTTAACAACAAATTTTTTCTCTGCAAGATCTGTAAAATTGTGTAGTTGCTTACGGTTTTTCTATGATAGAACCAAACATCCCACGTTAGGCTGATAGTGAGAGAGGAAAACAAGCGTGCACAGCTTTTTCTTGATCAAAATCGTGGTTTGATCCAACGAGTCAATGAAAACCAAAGGTCTCGAATCCCAGATAACGTCTCTCGAAACGTTGGCTTGATCAACGAAATCAACGGTAATATTTTTCGAGTTATGGAGATTTACTCTGATTTATCTGTCGATTTAGCCAAAAATTTCGATCAGCGGCGGAGGACGGCCATGAACGGCGGCACTACAACTACCACCACCGGTTCTTACGGCGGTAGACGGAGATCCTGCGGTTCCTAAGCGCAATACGCAACAGCAAACTCCGATTTTAGCTAATTTCATGCCAGGAGTCACTGTTCTGTTTCATGGAGTTTGTATATATGATTACAAGAATTAGGAGTTGATTTTGGGGTTGATGTGAATTAGTGTGGTGGATTAGGATGTTGCACTAGTCTCTTACGTGTTCTCTAAGGTATTCTATGCTTATGCATTCAGCTCCTCTGCTTTTGTTTGATTCTTGCATGTCTCATTCGTATAATCATTCACTAGTTTCATGATTTTTTCGATGGATGGTTGTCTGTATTATGGATTTAAATAGCTTTTAGAGAAGATATGAGTTGCACCAAAAAAAAGATGGCTCTGGTTAGTTCTTGAATAGATCATGATGATCCATGAGAATGAGCAATGAGTGGCTAGGTTATTTGGAAATGGTACGTAGAGTCTTGAAAAGCACAAGAGAGTCTTAGATAAGCGAGACTAGGTTCCACACACATTAGAAATAGTTCACTGCAATAGGTCTCTAGGAGCACATGACTTGGCCTACAAGCCAAACACGTTGCTGTTCTTGTCGACTAAACTTGATCTTTTTGGCCTTTTCACTGGTTTTTTTTTTCCCATTTTACGAGTAGTTTGATTATCTTCTATATTACAACAGAGATTTCGTGTCAACATGTCCAACTTACGATAAAATGAATCAAAACCATATAGTCTAAAAGAAACTTCCCACAAGTTACAAGTGCACCATATAAACCAAATGAGATTTGGAAATTTCAAAACATCTTTGGATCCATACGGTTATAGGGAACCTGACAAATGGATATTAAATCATAATAATTATAATAATAATAAACGATTTCATAATCTTGGATTCTAAATAAGCATGAGGTATGTTTGAGAGGAAGAAAACCTAGTGGTCTATGATCAGTAGTCATAGGCAGGCCCGGCCCGCCACCAATACCCAAGATAGACCTCCAAATTTTAAAGATTTTGAGTACTAAAATTAGGCCTCAAATATAATTTTTTATTGCAAAAAAAGCCTTATTTTTCCAAAATTTTAAGATTTAGTCTCAAATCTTAAATTTTAAAATATTGTAAAAATAGGCCCAATTTTTCTGAAAATTTAAGATTTGGTATCATTTTTAAATTTGTCTACAAAATCCATCAAAAAAAAAAATTATTCTGTATTGGGCCTCATATATAATAGGACCGGGCCTCGTCATAGGTTTCACCTTCAATGAACACCTTGAATGGACACTGAGTCTCACCTTGAATAGAGTACTCAAACTTGAGTTGAGTAGAAAAGAGAAGATGAGATGATGCTGAAAGCCTTGCCATTGATTTCAACTCCTTTTTAACTCTACCACTACTCCAGGTTGGTGCGATGGAGATTCCAACTCTCTTTAAACACTCCGAGTTGGCAAGTAGATATCTCACCAATTCTTTCTCTCCGTTTCTTCCTTTATAGTTTTTCCACTCAAAGATCTCGAGACGGTTTAACAAACACTCTGGAACAGAACTCGGTGGGTTGAAACAAAGTGGGAGCTCTTCGTTACAGACCTGTTAAGCAACAACATCAAGATAAGTAACTAAAACGTTTATTTCATTTTGAATTTGTTAAACCGTCCATATATATGTACCTGCTCGATGAGAAGGACTTTTAGCTTAGGAGAATTTTGAAGAAAAAGCATAAATGGTTGCAACCAATGTAATCCAAATGGGATAATTTTTTTTTTTTTTTTTTTTTTTTTTTTTTTTTTTTTTTAAAAGGGATAATTTTACATTCTACAAGCTGCGAGAAGTTAATGTTGTAACAACATCCAACCTGCAACAATGAACATATACCTCACAAATAAGTTGACGATGGCAATTTGATCATAATAATCATAAATAAGGTTGAAAAAGCCACTTATACGTACCGTCTGTGTGTTCAAAATGAAGTCGAGATGCATAACCGAGGAAAGAGATTTGGTAAAACTCGTCATCAAGATTAGAAAAAACTTGGATAAGTGCCTTATCAAGGCGAGGCTTGTTCTCAATTGAGTACAAGTTTGCCGAAATATCCCGAAGGAAGATTTTTCTTAAATTTGGAGAATCGATAGCCAAAGACCCCCCTGCATATCCGTCATTATTTTTTGCTACTTCCATATGACTATAATATAAGGTCTTTAAAGAAGGCACTTTGACACTGATATTTTTCAAGTTGTCAATACCATGTCTAACCACACCTAAATGCTTGAGAATAGGACAACCAGATAAAAGCCTAACAAGAGCATCTTCATATTTGTACACCACAGAGAAGAGGCAAAGAATTTCTAGACATGGAAAGCAAACCACAGAAGGAACATCCACCAAAATCTTATCGGAGATAGTAAGAAAGACGAGCGTGTTGCATACGTAAAGGCGATCTGGTAACCTGATAGGCTCTGACAACCAGCTTAGCTTGAACTCTAGCTTTCGCACTTTGCGATCAACTGCATCTGCAATCCACTTTATAACATCAACATCAATAGGACATCCAGGACCGAGTTGTACACAAAGAGTTTCTAAAACATGGGCCTTATGGAGTTTCATTGACTCGTTAAGAAACCACCATAAACTAGGCTCGTTAAGAAACCACCACATGTTTTTTTTCCTTCCTTGTTTATATTCAGTATCTCTGTACTCGAGTTCCGGTAGCATCGTCCAAATAGACCGCCATCGTTTCGACAAAACCACTGTAGACACTGCATCTTTTGTAGGTAGAAGCAACAATATCTTTACGAGCAAATCATCGGGTAGTGTACTAATCTTGTCTTCAGTTGAATCAGTTCTCTTGCTAATCTTGTCTTCAGTTGAATCAGTTCTCTCACTCTTACTCTTGATGAATCGTCGTGCATTATGTATTAAATGTTGTCCCAACCATATGGAACCGAATATAAGCAAAAGCTGTCCTAACATCTTTTTGTCACGGCTCCATACTCATTCGTCCTAACATCTTTTTGTCACGGCTCCATAGACGCCTTCATATTAGTCATTAAGCGTATATATACATACTAGATATGTCGGTTCTATCCTTTTTTTAGAATTAGTAACTTTACATTAGAATTAGTAAATAATTTTTTCATTTCTATTTTTATTTAATAAGATACATATAATTTCCTTATAATTATTTTTTTACCTTTTTAAAATTTTTTTGTATAATATTTATACATATAATTCCCTTATAATTTTTTATTAAATTTCTATTTTTATTTAATAAGATACATCAAATTTCCTTATAATGATCTTCTTTAGATTTTTAGATTTGTTTTTATAGAAGATATATACGTATAACTTTCTTAAAAAAAAAATCTAAATAGATAAAAGGAAATTGTTGTGTTACACGTGTCCAAATCTGATATCAATAAAAAAACAATTTTTGTAAGAAAATAGGAGACTATCTATTTGTTTATATAGAGTTGAGTAATTACAATCCTTTTTTCTCTCGAATTAATAATTGATTGTAAAATTTCCTTAAGTATTGTATTTAATATAATAAGATTGTATAATTTCTTAACTCCTTTTTTAATTTTGAAGGAAAAACTAATCCTTTTCTTTTAGAATTAGTAGCTTTAAATTAGAATTAGTAAATGAATTTTTTATTTCTATTTTTATTTAATAAGATACATATAGTTTCCTTATAATTATCTTCTTTACTTTTAAAAAATTGTTTTGTATAAGATTTATATGTATAGTTGCCTTATAATTTTTTTCTTAAATTTCTATTTTTATTTAATAAGATACATAAAGTTTTCTTATAATGATTTTTTTAGATTTGTTTTTATATAAGATATATACGTATAATTTTCTTATAATTTTTTTTCTTGATGAATAAAAGAAAATTGTTGTGTTACACCTGTCAAATTCTGGAATCAATAAATTTGTCACGTGGCACGATCCTATAAATTACTAAGGGCTATGCACAAAGTTAACAAAATTATAAAAAAAAAAAACAAAAAACAACGGAGGACGGCAAAGAACGGCGACTTTGCAGCTACCACCACCGATTCTTACGGTGGTAGACGGAGCTCTTGCGGTTCCTAAGCGCAATTCACAACAGCAAACTCCGATTTTAGCTAATTTCATGCTGGAGTCACTGTTCTGTTTCATGAAGTTTGTATATGATTACAAGAATTAGGAGTTTATTTTGGGGTTGATGTGAATTAGTGTGGTGGATTAGGATGTTGCACTAGTCTCTTACGTGTTCTCTAAGGTATTCTATTCTTCTGTATTCAGCTCCTCTGCTTTTGTTTGATTCTTGCATGTCTCATTCGTATAATCATTCACTAGTTTCATGATTTTTTCGATGGATGGTTGTCTGTATTATGGATTTAAATAGCTTTTAGAGAAGATATGAGTTGCACCAAAAAAAAGATGGCTCTGGTTAGTTCTTGAATAGATCATGATGATCCATGAGAATAAGCAATGAGTGGCTAGGTTATTTGGAAATGCTTGTAAGCACAAGAGAGTCTTAGATGAGCGACACTAGGTTCCTCATACATTAGAAAATAGTTCACTGCAATAGGTCTCTAGGAGCACAAGACTTGGGCTACAAGACAAATATGATAGGTGTATTCGTTGCTGTTCTTGTCGGCTTTTGTGCTCTCTTATTCCTCAATTTCCAGAGAAGATAGAAGTACTATGTTATTATATATTTATTAGTCACATGACTAAATTTGATGTTTTTGGCCTTTTAATTTCACTGGTTTTTCTCTTTTACGAGTAGTTAGATTATCTTCTATATTACCACATAGATTTCGTGTCACAATGTCTAACTTGAGATAAAATGAATCAAAACCCAGATAGTCTAAAAGACACTTCCCAAATGAGATTTGGGAATTTCAAAACATCTTTGGATCCCCAAAAATTGAAAAGATTTTGCTACGGTTGATTAACTTTGTAGAACCATACGGTTATAGGGAATCTGACAAATATTAATCGTTGTTTTTGTGATTTAACTGGTTATGGATTGTGGAATAGTTATTGTGGCTGTGCCAAAGTGAAATACACTCTCCTAGAAGACAAGCTAAACACCAATTCACGCAAATTCTATGAGAAAAAAAAAAAAATTTGATAAAGAAAAACTAAAATCTTTCTGCAACCCTCCTTGTGCCTTGACTATATATATAAAGAGAGACTCATCAAATATCTCTCTATCCTTTATATTATAAAGCACAAGTCACATGACCAATACAATTTTGACATATCAGCAAACTCAAATTTTTTTAAAAGAATTTATAAAACAAAAAAGAGATCATGGAAAAAAAAAAGGCGATATTACATGATTAAAACAAAAACCTAAATCCAGTTAACGTATTACTTAAAATGAATATATTTCTAACTTTGTAGAAACTGATTCTCCCCACCTCCCCCACGAGCCATGATCCCCATTTCTTCACTTCATAAATAGATTATAATTTTAATTTGTTGCAGACGCTTTTATTGTCAATTTGTTTTTCTCTCATGTCCAACTCTCTCTCTTATTTTTTTCGCAAAGCTTCGACATCTGTTTCTACGAATCTTAAAGTGATGCTCCTCGATTTTTACACTTATTTTACAAATAGCTCCGGCAATTGAATCGTGTAAAATCAAAGTTAGGGTTGTCCATCTATGGACATTTCCAAAAAAGATAAACGAGGAGGATTTACCGGAATCGATATGCTTATTTTGGATGATAATTAGGTAAACATTTTTATGGTATTTTCTACTGTGCGATCAATTTTTTATATCACATACATATATTGACTGTTTGAATTGCCTTCACGAATGAAGAAAGAAAAAGTCCATTTCATTGCGTTAAATTGTTGATCTTTCAAACTTAAAATTTTGTCTTATAATAATCATTCAATTTCCTTGAACCATTTATTTAACCTGTCTTTCATTTTCAATTGAGTAACTGTCTTTAATCTTTATGTTTTGATGAATTACGCCTGTGTTTGTTTTGAAAATTGTTAAGATAAATATGTTAATTGTTTTTATCGCTAATTTATGTTTATTTATTTTTTGTTATTGTATAGTTAATAAAATTAGACGCATCTTATGTACTTATAATTTTTATGGTTAGATTCCTTTTTGACTCTAAATATTAATTTATATATTTTCATATATAATTTGATTTTTTATATCTAAGATTCTAATATTCGTTCACCATCATGAATACACACAACAAGAATATAGGGTATTTCGATCTCAAGAGTTTTCGTATGAAAAAAAAAACAAAAATTAAATAATTATTGAAATAATCTTTTAGATTTTGGCCTTGAATGGTAATGGTTTTTCAAATGGTTTTTGGTTTTAGTTATCCAAGAATCCATTTTTTAGCCATTCAAGATTTTGAGAAAATTGGTTTTCCTAAAAAATAGGGAATCTAGATTCTAAGAATTTTTATTAATTTCTTAACAAAATCCAAAATCTCATTTCAATAAGTTTTTGAGAATTCCTCTATGAGATCTTTTTTTTTATCAATTTTATATTAGTTTTTCTTTTTATTTTTACATAATCCAAAAACCAAAAACAAAATCTAAAATCTAAAAACCCTCTAAAATCTCTCAAACATTCATGGCCTTTATGCTATTGCGTATAGCCATATAAGAGAAATGGATTTGTTTGATTTATTAAAATAATTTTATAATTTTATTTTTGTTTTGAAAAATCGTTTAGAAATAGAATTAATGGAGGATTTAACATAATAGAAGACTTTTGATTTTGCCTCAATTAATTTTGATGATTTTTTTAATTTAAATAATGTTGAATGACACATGTCATCTTCTTGTGTGATGATGTGGCACTTGTATGGAGAGAGTTGACCAACTTTTATATATATGATTAATGAAACAGGGAGGTATGATATGTGTTCTATCAAAGAGAATTCACTATCAAAATTCCAGAAGCAATTACAAGAATGGGAGTGCAACATCCTAATGAATTTTGAGTTATGCCTCAATCTTGGACAATTTAGAAGTTCTTCACATCCTTACATGATCAGTCTCATGTGTCAAGCCATGTGAGCAGCTACCTAATTTATTAGGAAGGTTCCAGATTCCAGTGATGAAGAGTTTATATAAACTTTGGCTTGATGAGTGAGGTTCAATGAGGCACGTTTGCATACTCACTAGTCACTACAATACCAATCATCCAGTCCTCAAAAGCGTTACAACACAACTAAAAATTGGATGGAACATGGAAGTTCTACAAGACATGAACAATAATTCGGAGGAAAAGGAGAACATGTCATAGGAAGTAGGAACTTATCTTGCGGTTACAGCACGGTGGAAATATAAGTAACAATATAATTTGATTATTTGCTTTTTAGAATTAATTTGTAATGAATTTATTTTGCTTTTTGTTAACATCCATTTTATCTTCGTAATATATTTCAATGTGCAAATTTTTTTTTTTTTTGGTCATCATGTTAACATGGTTCATTGATATTAATTGTAGTAAGTGTGAAATAACTTTAGAATCTGAATTTAATATAGATACGGAAACTATTTTTTTTTTCAACAATACGGAAACTATTCTAAGTAGAATCATTCAAAAGAAAATTTGGGCCGTAGTACGGGCTTTAATACTAGTATATATATAGCATAAATACATAATATAATAATGTTGTAGATGAGGTAAAGTTTGGCTCACTTAAGCGTCATCAAATTCATAATGTTGCTAGTAGTGTGAGAGAGGCAAATAACTTTTTAAATAAATTAGTAGTGTGAGCGAGGCAAATATTGTATAAATAAATATAATGTTGAATCTATATCGAATGATCGTGTGGTTATTGGCTACACACCGCCCTTATTAAATGGCTCATGTTTCCTCGTTCGATTCCTCTTGGCTGGATTAAACAATTTTTTTTTTTTTTTTGTGTGGAGAAGCTGTGGTGGCACGTGCGTGTAAGCATTTTTTTGTAAGAGTGAGTGAGA